ATCATGGCAAAACTATTGTTGCATCTCCTGATGGAAGCACTCTCCTCTTGGAGGCTGAGGTCACTAAACCAGCAGAAGACAGAGTTTCCAGGTAAGGAAGGAAAAATTCTGAGAGTAGGTGGTAATATAAAAAGAGCTACTCTTACTGCCGTAACTAGATTCAAATTATCTCGGCTATGAGAAAGACAGCAACATATAATGGTCTCTGACTCAAAACATATCATTTAAGACAGAATCTCATTTTCCAGGGTATTGTCTTCCAGCTAAGATCATAATTGAGTCTTCAGTAAGCCATTTCACCATTCAGTTATTCCAGCTGCTTCCAGGTGATGGTATATGTGGTAAGCCTTGTTAATTCTATTGGCATGGTCCATTGCTGCACTTCCTTTGCTGTGAAATGAGTTCCCTAATCAAACACAATGCTGAGTAGAGCGCACTGATGGGAGATAGGGCATTTTGTGAGTTCACAGATAGTAGTTTTGGCAGAAGCATTATAAGCAGTAAAGGCAAATTCATTTCCAAAATATGTGATTATTCCAATTAAGATGAATCTTTGCTCCCTCTACAATGGAAGAAGTCCAATGTAATCAACCTGCCACCAGATGGCTGATTCATTACCCCTGGGAAGGGTGCCATATCAGGTACTCAGTGTTGTTCTCTGCTCTTGAAAGATTAACCAGTTGGCAGTGGTGCTGGCAAGGTAAACTTTGGATAGGGGAATTCCAAGTTGTTGAGCACATGCATAGTCTCCATCCCTACCACTATGGCCACTTTGTGCATAAGCCCACTGAACAAGCACCTGCTGGCTGGGCAAATAGATGCTGACTGATATCCACAGAGTGTGCCATTTTGTCCACCTGATTATTAGGAGTCTCCTCAGCAACGGATACATTTAATGTAGCAGATACACTTCATAGTTTGTATACATTCAGTTAAGTCCTTGCAGATATCTGTTTCCCACACTTCCTTGTTGCCTATTTTTCAATGTCATTCTTTCCAAGTCACAGACTATCTATACAAATCATTAGCCAGGCCCATTCTGGTCATCTCTTGCTCCAGACATGCTAGGTAACAAATGTATTGTTTGAATTATGCCCACCTGGAGGAGTTTCCTTCACCACTGCCCTTCTGGGTGCCTAAGTAGGGCTGGGATAGCAACCTGTGCTGCAGAAGATGGATTCTAGAGAGGCCTTCCACGCTGCAGGAGCCTGTCAGGGAAGCATGCTGGAACCAGAAAGTAAACCCTTTCCTATTTCAATGCCTCTCTAGCATTCTCTGTGGACAGAACTTACCATGGTGGTAGATAGACCTACCTACCACATAGAGAATGCTGAGAGAAGTAGTAGAAGACTATTTTAAGGGGTCAGATCCATCTATACAGAACAAGAATGAAAAGTGAATTTGGAACTGAGAGGCGATTAATAAATTACAGCACAGGTACTATAGAGCTGGCTAGCTTAGGTCAAAAAACTACTCTGTCAATCACCGTGGCTATTGCAGCTCCCATTTGGTCTCTCATTAGACTGGGGATAGGCAGAGAAGAAAAGTAGTTCTCCCAAAATAAGAGGGAGAAGCACTTTCCCCAAAAGAAGAGAGGCGTTCTGGGCTAACAAAACAAAAATGTTCCCTACACTTCACCCTTTGACTGCTCAGTGCATGCATGAACACACACACACACACACACACACACACACACACACACCCTGGTTTCTCCATATCTAGTCCCTCCCTAGTGAGAGGAGAAAACTCAGTCACATCCCGATATTGAATCCAGCCTCAAATTCAGGATCTTTAAGTACTGTCAATCTTGATGAGGTCCAGATGTGGCTAAATAATGAATAATGAATTTTTCCCCAGAGCACAAATGTATGTTAAAGGTGTGGGGGCTGGGGGGCACTAGATAACAAAAACTAATGAGAAAACAGAAATAGGAAAAGCAACATACAATGGTTGTGAGCATATACCATATCCTGCTGGACAAAAGTAAGAAGAGTAAGAAGGACTTCACTTCTACAACAAAGAATCAAGATCTCTGTCAGCCAAGCAAAGTGTCAAGATTTTCCTTGTCTCAAAGATCCTGCCTTAGAGGGGTAGTGAAAGGAATCCTGGTGGCCATTAGGTAGCCATCTTTCTACAAGGAATGGAGACTGGGACGTTGCCTTTAAGACAGCACAACAGTAGGTACCTTTTGCCAGGCTGAGGTGGAATTTCTGGCAATACCTTAGAATTTCACTTGGCTGCCAGTCAGTACCATTTGGGGAAATCCATTAGCTTGTTATCAGAAATCTCACTAAGACTTGAAGTTCAAATATAGACCCTGCCCTTCCTGTTTTAATCTCTTGAAAACTAGCCTGGCAGATCCATGAAATCTCCCTGGATAATGGCTTTTGTCATAGGCTCTCCAAGGGTGAGGAAGAGAACAGGCTGGGATTATGAAACTAGGTTATTGTATTGGATGCCAGCCCTTAAGTTGTATACCACTCAACTGGTATAATGGGAGGAATTACCTTTTTCTATTGATAAGGAAGCATAGCAGAAGATATTTGGGAAGAATTCTGAGGAATGAAGCATCCATGACTCCATTGCTAATTCCTACTTAGTGTATTAACTTATGGACGGCAGAAAATTTCGTTATTTCACTTGGCAGAGTAGATATTAAACCTCTAGCGAAAGAGCTCCTCAACAACGCTTTGTAAATTACATCTCACTATTGATGGTTTCTTTCAGAAAGGCCATGCTGAGTTAGTTTATCTCACGGCACTGAAGCAAAAAGTAGCCAACATATTTCAAGAGCCTGTTTGTTTGTTTTGTTTTGTTTTTGCCAATTTCCCTAAAGTTAGAGCCTTACTGGGCATAACAAATAATCCACCAGTGTCTTTCAAAGTGTCTAGGGTGAAGAATCAATTTTTGGATGATTTTTAATTATCAACCCATTGCAGACAAATATTTTCATAAATACAAAACTGCATGCTTAGATAGCCCTGTGATGTCAAATTATTAAAAGTTTCCAAATCCTCCTCTCAATTTCTATATCTATTTCATTGTTGACTAGTAGAGCTTGCAGACTGGCTTTGGTCTGTACATCACATTTTTAGTAGCACCGATAAAACCAATAAAACTTGCTACTTTCCAAGCCTGGGATGGATGACTCCTCACTGTCCCCACCTCCTTTACTAAGCCAATTCTACATTTTAGGGTTGTGATGGTTAATACTGAGTGTCAACTCGATTAGATTGAAGGATACAGAGTATTGATCCTGGGTATGTCTGTGAGGGTGTTGCCAAAGAAAATTAACATTTGAGTCAGTGGGATGGGAAAGGTAGATTCACCTTTAGTTTGAGTGGGCACCATCTAATCAGCTGCCAGTATGGCCAGGATATAAAAAGCAGGCAGAAAAACCTGAAAAGGCTAGACTGTCTTATAGACTGCATCTCCCAGCCTACATCTTTCTCCCATGCTGGATGCTTCCTTGAATATCGAACTCCAGGTTCTTCAGCTTTGGGACTCAGACTGGCTTCCTTGCTCCTCAGCTTGCAGACAGCCTATTGTGGGACCTTGTGATCATGTGAGTTAACTACTACTTAATAAACTCCCATATATATATTTTATTAAGTAGTAGATATATACATATATAACAGGATATATCTATCTATCCTATTAGGATATCCTATATGTATCTATCCTAATAGGATAGATATATCCTATTACTTCTGTCCCTCTAGAAAACCTTAATACAAGGGTCAGCAATCACAATTCCCTATTTCTAGGTAATCAATTTCTGTACTGATCAATAGTTTTGGATAAGAACATATACTGCATATTCTAACTTTACAATGCATTGTCTCCTAGCTGGCACGGGAAAAATGGGTCACATTATAAGAGTGGTGAAGCCGATGGCCTTTGGTTAGAAGAATGGTGTATGGGATAATGTGATAGGTCTATTATTATTATTTTGTATAAATTTAGAAGTACAAGTGCAGTTTTGATGCATGGATACATTGCGTAGTGGTTGAAATCTGGGCTTTTAGTGTTAACCATCACCCGAATAGTATAATAGGTCTGTAATTAATAGGGAATAGTGCTTGCAGCAAAACCAAACCCAATTCCGGAATGAGGAACTAGTGTAGGGAAGCAAACTATTGGCTGATCCATGACAAAAGGGAGTCTAAAGTAATTGACATTCCTGCTTCTAGGTATTTGGCTGGTCCCCTTGAAAGAGAATGCCTCCTAACGACCTTAGAACTGGTCGCCATTGCTGTAACGTTGACTTTTCAGCAGTGGCAGTAGCCGCTGGAATACACTGTTTCCCCTGCCGTTTCCTTGGTAAATCATGTTACTTTCCAGCCTAAAACCCCACTTTCCCTAGCACTTGGAAGAAAGTCCAAACTCCTTCAACGGTCTACAAGGCACTGAAAGTTCAAGACCTTGATTTCCCTCCAATTTCAATGGCTGTCATTCTTCGTTGCTCTGTTTCCTGATGCCCTAGCCACACTAATACCCCAGCACAGCAAGTACTCAGCATATCTTGTTCCCTCTGCCTGGAACACTTTATATACCTCCTTCCCACTCCCATCCCTTTTAGAAATTGGCTGAGACGTTACCTCCTAAAAGTCCTCTCCCCACCACCACACAGCCGTTACTTTCTAACCCAGCCTCTTGTTCACTTTTTTCATTAAACCTGACCCAACTATAATTACTATACCTTGAAAAATAAAGTAGTACAGAAATGAAAACAAACTCCATCATTCTACAGAGCTTTCAAATGCTCAGATATGTTTCTGAACACTCAGAGGGGAAAGCAAAAAATCAAGAGGCATCCTTGGAGATCTTGTAAATAACAAAATACCCAAATGGTTGCCTACTGCCAAAACCCCAAGAATTCAGCCCACGTCTTCTCTTTTAAAAAGGCAGTGGCATTTTCATTTTTTCATCTGATTCCCACCAATCAGAGGCCAGGTACCCATGAACCCCGCTCGGCGTGGTCTTTTAATAATTAAATCAGGGCTGCCATTGACCTCAACTAACGCCAGAGGCTTCTGACTGCAGCCGAGCACTGGTGGAGAGGCCGATGCCGGCCTGAGAGTGGGAAGCGTGGGGCTGGGAGCCAGGGGCTTCCGCGCGGCGTGGCGTGGCCCTCTCAGGGCCGTTACGCGATTTTCGCTCCCGCGGACAGCGCCTCTCAGACCACCCCCGAGGGACCCCGAGGACGCACTCGGGCCCCAGCGCGACGGTTCAAACGGGCCCGTGTGCGCCCCCGGGGTCCGCCGGCCCCTGCAGCGCTACCTGGGCGCAGAGCTGCGGAGGGTCTCCGTTCCTAGACGTCCTCCTACCCCGGGCGGCCTGAGTCCTCGCCAGCATCCGCCCTCTCCCACCTCCCATCCTTCCTGGAGCCGCCTCTCGGTTCCCGAGGGACAGTCCCGACCGCAAACCCACGTAGAGTAAGGAATGTGGAAGGAACAGGCGACAGAAGTGGCATACGCTCCTGCGTTATCCCTCCGTCTCGCCACACCTTGTGCCTCCATCTCTCCCCGTTTCCTTCCCTCTGTCTGTCATCTGTCATCCCCTGTCGCTCTAAGACCAGGATTCCAGTTCGCCTAGTGAGGAATCTCACTAGGGGAATTTATCGCAGCATCATAAATTAACGGGTTCATTTTGACTGAAAAAGCGAAGGAGTTTTTTCAGGCAGAAGACAAGTCTCGTCTGGTCGGTAAGGACTAGCTTTACCAATTGTATAATGGGGGGTGGGGAGAACCTTTTGTATAAATTTAATAAGCTAATGAGAAAGTTCTACGGTTTTGACAAAAAAGTCCACCTAAATATTCGGTTGTATGCCAGAAATTACTACACATGTTTTGATATCAACTAAAAATATACAAGGGATTCATGGTGTTTTCAGAACCCTTTCAAGCCGTTCTTAAACAAAAAAGTCTAGTCCGATGCCCATTAGCACCGCCCCCATCCCACCTCTCACCCCACGCCGCGCCCAGCGGGGTGGGCAGGAGCGGCCTGATTTGGGGACCAGGAAGGAGGAAGGAAGGGTGCGGGCGGGGGACGGGGAAAGTGACGGGAGCAGTGAGAGCCGGAAATGAGTGGCTAGCGAGGCACCCAGGAGCGCCCTGTCCGGCGGCGCTCTAGCCCACGCGCGCTGTCTCTATGCTACCCAGCGTCTCGTCTATTTATTGTCGCGGGGAAGCGGCGGCCGCCTCGCACCCGGAACAACAAAGCAAGGAAGACGGAGTCCGAGCCTCGGGGGCTCCTAGCAACGGGCCGGGGCGGGAGTTCCATGGAGACTGGGGAGCGCGCCCGTCTCATCCTCATCCTTGTCCTCCAGCTTCTCCTTCGCATCCGACGCAACCGGCAGCAGCGCTGCCGCCGCGTCCTCAGCCACCGCTCCCTCTTCCCACGGTAACCCCCTAGGCGACCCTGGACTCGGGGAGCGCGGGCGGCTGAGCGGCCTGAGCACCGGGTGCGGGGCGTCTGGCGCGGGGTGGGCATGTGCGGAGCCCGGGCCAGACTTGGGGTGGGATGTGTTGGGGGCGGGCGACTGGAGGGCAGCCGCTGAGGTGGGGAAAACCGGTCCGGTGGCCGAGGGAGGGCTCAGTTCTGAAAAGGACCGGGCGATATTTGGCGATCTTGTTAGGGATAACGGGTTGGGGGTGGGGCGTCCGTACCTGGGAGCGTTATCGAACCTAGTGTAGGATAAAAAAAGACGGGTTATCTTTCGTTTAAGCCACCACTGGGAAAGACAGGGAAGGGAGATTCCTCATCTGTCTCTGGAGCCATCACCCAGGGGAAGAGGGACCGTGCAAAGATGCTAGGGGTCCGTTGCTTTTCAGAAAACTTGCAGCAGCCTCTCTAGTAGCTCCCCAAAAGCGGCTTCGTCGGTTTCTGGTTCTGGCAATGCCGGCAGCCCCGCTTTATTTTATTATTATTTTTGACCAAAATTAGGATTGATGGAGAAGGATCTAGAACTGAAGAACAGAAAATGAATTGTGGGTAGGGCTAAGCAGGGATGAGAGTCGGGATAAGTGATAAAAATAGCCAATAAAAGCCCTAAAAGTAAATCTAATAGGGCATGAGGGCTTAAAAAGAAAATCTCTCCTGCCGAGATGTGCATCTGCAGGCTCTGTCAATGTGCTCACTGCAATAAGACCCAAACTGCAGTCCACATCTGTGAGCTCTCTGACTGCATCTGTCACCTGCAGTTCCAAAGCGACACTGGCAGTAAGTGCCTGAGCTTCTGTATGTAGGGTTTAAGAACAGTGCCTTAAAACTGTGACTCAAGAAAAGGGAGTAAGCTTGGTGGTTTGTGTGTGTGTGTGTGTGTGTAAGCAATGTGGATTCTCTGGGAAAATTTAAAAGGAGACATAAAAGAAGGTTCAGCTATCCTGGCATAATTTCGCAGTCTCTTTGAGAAAATGGCAGTTCATTCCAATTGAGAAGTGACTGTTAACACTATCTGGCTGAAAGACTTATTCACAGTTTGGTATGCCCAGTGAAATACCAATTTATGTTATCTCTTTAGTCTTACATCACAAGCTGCTTAATGGTTTTATACTTTTCAGAATCAATTTAGGTGAGTAAATGATGTTTTCCTGTAGCACAATGAAAAGGCCACATATACATACAAAGTTCTTTATGTAAAGTTGAAGATTAAAGATGAAAATAAAATTGATAAATCATAGGAGCAATTAGGTCAACCACAGCTTCTGTTGGTCCCCCACCTCTTTTGTTAAACCTGACTTCTCTTAAGCAAAAAGGTGTCATCCTTTCCCCAACCTCCTCTTTGCATACCCTCTGCCCTCAAAATCAGTATCAGAAACTAGTGACCTACTGCTGTGTGCCCTTGATTGGGTTGACTTATTCCTGAATGAGGGCTAGCCAGAATATAGTTTTAACTCAGGCGTTTTCATCTAAGCTTTTAATATGGAATTGAGGTCCAGTGCCTGTTAAAGGAATTTCATTCATGTGTAAAGAATTGGACAGGATGGAAAGTGTGAACGCTGGGAAACTTAAGTTGCATTTTAAGACTCTAAGAAGAAAAAGATAGATTAATGAATCAAAGACTGTTACTTAATCTTTGTAGCAGTTCTGTGAAAGATATGCTGAGATAACCATACTTGAGGCTGCGGATGTTGAGTCCTGGGATTATCTTTGTGCATATGAGACTTGACGAAGTGTCCCTCAACCTTAGGGCTGCCATCAGACTCACTTGACCTAGACCTTGTTTGCCGTTGTCTGTCTCTTCATTGTTTGAGTGAGGGTCAAGCCCTAGCTTCCACCTTTATGAGCAATCCAGTGTCTGCTTTCCCTGCCCTCCTACGCCCCAATACTCCCAACTTTGGTGGTGGTTTAGTTACTCTCTTTTCTTAATCATGTCCCAATCAAAAATGATTTTTTATGCTGTATCATTTCTGTTTCTTATGGCATTTTCAACGTGTCTTTCGCCTGCATATGCGTTTCATTAATGTGATTTTATCTGTTGCATTTTCCTTCTGTACCCCTCCTCTTTATTTGGAAAATTGGAGTTGTCAGGTTGGATGTTCTGTATTCATTCTGAATAACTGTTGGTTGTGAATACAACAGGTTAAGAGCCTGTGCTGAAACTCAAGAGCTTATATTAAAATAAGGTATATTAAAATTTTTGAACTTAGCAGAATGAAAGACGTTAGAAGTCCACATGGTAATACTGTAATTGTAGACAGTCACTTTTAAAAAAAGTATTGCAGAGCCTGTTGTGTGTTTTAAATTGAACCTTAGATTTTCATGATTCTTATTCTAAAAAAATTATTCTTAAAATCAATCTTGACTGAAATTATATTCTGCCAAATTTGAGGGAACTACTTACACTGATTTCCCCAAGTTATTCTTAACATAGAAAATTGTCACATCAACATTTTTGTGGATGAACACATATAGAATGCAGAATTTGCTATGAAGTAGAACAAATACTTATGAAACGTATAGCTGAATGTATTTGGAGAGAGTTAGTTCTTCTCGTGGACGTGGCACATTATTTAAAAATCAGAAAATATTGTATAATCTAGTTGAGTGAACATGAGGACTGGTTTTAGATGAAGGGGACCAGTAATAACCTAGGTGATTGATTTCCTTGTGTTTCATCATAGACCATGTGATGAAATTATTGCTATAAAATACAGACATTGCAGCTGATTTTTAGAAGAATTTATAGTAGAATGTTTCCATATTGTCTCTGAGTTAAAATCTCTGGTGTTTTCAAATTTTAGCTGTATTGTGACATTCAAACTAATAAAGATTCCCTGAAACTTACATCCATTTTGTTGCACCTTCTGTATGCCTGGTGTCGTGTCAGGTGTGCAAAGCGGGATGAAAGAGGTATTTCCCTTCAGGTGCTTTTTGTGCACTTGCAGATAGCACAGAAATGTCCTATGTGTGTAACAAAACGTGACACACACAGATATGAATTTTAAATTATTACATACTGCCTGGTACTGTCGTTGTTGGTGAATGGACTTCATCATACCTGCTAAATTAGAAGTTTCTTGAGGATCAGGAGTATGAGTTGCCATCATATTGTATGTTCCTGCCCTGTGTGTGTATTTTGAAGATTATGTTGTTAATAGAAGGAGATACATGTTTGTTTATTTCACTTCAAGAGCTTAGCTAGTGTATGAAGGGAACCTTTTTGAAATCTAATTCTTGATGCCTAAAATTTCAACTTTGTATTCTGGCTGTGGGCATGCAAATTATAAGCAATGACACTTTCTCAAGTATGATTAGAGCCTTCTTCTAACCAATTCAAACAATAAAGATAATGATGGACTCCCTTCACTTGAGTAGACACGATATTTGCTCTTGTCACGTGACTACCACTTTGGGAAATTTCAAAAGGATGAGAGACAGTATACATATCTAAGGTTTTTCCAGGCTATGTAGACAGATTTGATTTTTGTATTATTAACCAGTCAGTCTTTTCTTTAGAAGACAGATGGAGTTTGTGTGTTTGTATAGTTGCGAAAAAGCAAGATTCTGGAAGTATGTCTTTAGTGGAAAGGAATCAGGTCACATCAGAAATTCTACTCATCTGTGACTAAAGGGGGATAAAGTTGAGAATTTGGTTTAAATGGCTGGTTTTGTGGGTTGAAGCATGCTGCTATGGATCCCATTAAATGTTAAAAAAAAAAAAAATTCAATAGGGTGATTTCTGGGGCAGTTCAGATGTGCCTGTATGTGGGAGTCAATAATGAAACTGTTTAAAATTTCACCAAAAAGTACAGCACAGAAGATTGGCTGTTGGTTACTTTTACCATCCATTAATAAAAAAAAGACTGAAAACCAGATTTTTGAACTGGTTTTAAGGACAGAGTTTTCTTAGGACATATGTGGATGACTTCAGCATTGAATTGTGCTTAGCACAAGATAGACATCTGTGTGTAGACATTGGCCCACGGTATGTTTTGGTTTTTTTAACTCACTAGATAGGACTTAAGTCTTAAAAGCAGTAAAAAAATGTGTTACTATTAATAAAATGGTTCCAAAGAATCAGGTGTTAACATTCCCGCTCCTGATAAATTACAAGTATTTTCATTGTGAGACGAGTTTTGATGAGAATCACTTACTTTTCCTTGAGATTGGGGTTGGTACAACACTTAAAGAGTACGGACTCTGGGTGCAGGCTGCCTGTGTTCAGCATCATGGCTGTGCTTTTAATTAATGGCATGGCCTTAAATATTAAATAGCTTTCTCACTGCCCGGAGGCCCAGTTTCCTCTTCTGTACTAGGGGGTTAATACTACTACTACCTTACAGGGTTGCTGTGAGAATTAAGCATAAAGCACTTAGAACTTTAGTTAAAAGCTTAAAAAAGTGCTAGCAGGTGCTAGTAGCGGTGGCACTGGATAGTATATTAAAGGTGAACTGTAGGACCACTTGGATGCTTTGTTTCTTTGGTTGAGAGGCTTTCTACTGGAGCATTGAAATTCTTTTTATTTCTGATCACTGACTGTTGGACTCATCTCTGCTGTTAGGCTTTAGGAGGGGGAAGTACTTTTTTAAGTTTTGAATTGTCACACAGGCATCTGGTTATCACCGATGGCAGATGGACTAAGTAAAGAGAGACATCTCTGTTTCTTGGAAAAGGAAGGCCAACAAAGCCTGGGCTGGCACCGTGGTGCAGCTATTGAAATACTGTTTCCCTGTGGACTTGACTTGTTTAGCTGTATGATACTTCTGAATAAAAGGAATAGACCCCAATGGTTTCATTTAACAGAATTAGGCTTTCTTTAGAAGGCACCATTTTTTACTTGTATAATCTTAGTTGATGGTAAATTTGAAACTTGTATTAGTGTAAAGCCATGTATTGTGAGCTTTCTGTGCCACTATAAATGTTCTAATAGTAGTTTTTTTTTGTAATTTTAGTAGTAG